ACATTTCATAAAATTTGTTTGGAGCAAATATTCACGAATTTCCCACGAAATTGGAAAGATGCAAAGTGATTGGAGAGGAATAAAAAAAAAGTCAGTGAAATGAGAAAATCGTCCACGAAGATGCGAGAAATTGTGCTTCAAACTGTCCGCAACAGGTACATCATTGTGGCTACGAGCAGATGTATTTTCCATTATTCAGTCCATCCTCTTTTCAAACTTGCTGGATACTCATTGTCACGTGTGTGCTAATTATGATTTTTTTTAGATAATAAATAGTATTATATAATATTTCCTTACAAATAATCTAGTAAATCGCAAATTTATACTTTCGACTAACTTTAATTTATTAATTTTAAATATGTAAGTAATTCGAAGATAATATAATTCAGGATTAACATCATTATCAGAATTATCATACAGAATTAACATCGTTATCGCGAGCATAAAATAACATGTGCAAATGAGCGTAGTTTATAATTATGCAACCTACGTGTTATTCATAATTAGATCGCGCTTCTTGCAAGTTCTTGAACGTTAACTTCAATTTTAATTAGCTTTGTCGTTTTAAACACTTAAATTGCATTTTTTTTCGTTTCGCAAACAATCGCAAAAATCTTCAAGCTATGAATTTGGTAATATCTGTTTTATGTACAATCAAAAACATTTTTCTAAAATATAATTTGAAATATAATTTAAGAAGAGTACTTTTTCATCAAATTTAATAAACTTATTAATTTAAACATTAAGAAAATTCAAATTAGATTCGCAGATTAATAATAAATTCAAAAATTAAAAGTAATATATTGATATATTAAGGAATACAATTTTCTCGAATTATTGAGCAAATTCTTTGTCCATCAAAATTGACAGAAAATAATTAATAATACAAACGCAAAATTCCTAGCAAATTTAATACAACATACTGACAAGCTTTATCGCACAGCTGATTGTGACTGATACTTATTGATAATTACCATAGCGTTACGAGGGAAACCTCTAACCGGATTGCTCTTGGAGCTATCCCAGTGTTACGACACAAACGAGATTCTCCTTAATCAGTTCGTCAGAGCATTAACAGATAATCCCGCTCCGCTGGAAAGCTCGATGACATTGATCAATTAAATGGTACGACGTCGCGTCCACGTCGCATCTCATTAAAGTAGCGTTTGTGCAAACGCAAGTTCGCATGTCAAGAAATGCGAAATCGATTCATTGATAAAATTGAATTTAAAATCGCAACTGATTCGATCGTCGATGAGATCGATTTTAATCCAATTTGTCAAAATACTCTTAAGTGAGATTTTTCACTCTTCGTAAACCGCGACGATTTCTTCTGATAGCATGCTCATCGAACATTGATATTTTTTTCTATGTATTCATATTACTGACATTAATTTCTCTAAAACTCACGTAAACACAAATTAAATAATATATCGTATATTAAAATAATATCGTAAAGTAAATATATAATATTGTTTATAGTTTATATATATAATTTATATATTTTTTTATACTTATATATTTTTTCATATATTATTATAACAAAAATGCTATTGTTTTAAAATAATTTCCAAAAGATTCTTTTATACATATTCATTCTCTACTAGCATTGCCATACAATTACACGCGAAAAACTTCATTAAATCAACAATATATAACGAATGTGTCTTCATGAGTATGCGAAATGACGGTACAAGATAGAATTATGCGCAGCGATTAGAAGTGGGATTAATTCGTACACATCAGAACGAAATTACGTACACACGACTAGCATGATAACACTTAATTAAGTGCTTCTCCTCGCGCGTTCGCGTTTCGAATTTCTCACGCTAATCACGAAGACAATACTATTACTGGCGGCGAGTAACAATACCGCATAGCTGACCACGTAGGCGTAGATGCATCCGAACGCGAAGATGTTGACTGCGTTCGCAATATGCATAACACGAGAGAGGACGTAGGTGCCTCACATCCTCCGACTCCCCTTTCATAGCTGCTCGTTTGCCGAACCGCGCTTCCGACATTTCATCCTCGATCACTCTTTTCCCGTGCCCTTTCGACCCATCCGTCATCGCAACCCCGAACTAAGATGCTTTGGCGTATCACGCCCACGTTGTTCCACGACACGACCTTGGTAATTGGGTTAAAGGAAGATGAGCGTAAAGAGATCGTCTCTCAAGAGAGAAAAGATATTTTCCCGCAGTCGCACTAAAGAACCAACCAAAGTGAGAAGCGTGCGATGAGTGGATTAGGTTAGTTATATTGATTCTTCCCGTAGGCGAATCTCTCTCTCTCTCTCTCTCTCTCTCTCTCTCTCTCTCTCTCTCTCTCTCTCTCTCCCCTCCTCTTTCTCTTTCTGTCGAATGTCGAGAAATAAAAGTTTAGAACTTTGAGGTGGACTTTCGATGATAACGATTTAATCCCATTCGATTTTTCTCAATAACAAATATCAAATAAATTTTTAAACTAGATTTTAAAAGATACCGAATAGTAATAATTTTTGAAGATTAATCTGAATTGAAGTTATATTGTTCTCAGATATCGATCTACATATGATTATGTTTAAAAAAAATTTTGTACATAAATACTCTTAGTACACCTTATAGTTTGCTCTTATACTACACCTTACAAATATAACATACGACGCCTTTAGATTCCAACAAACATCAACTTGCTGAAGAAAGATTACTCTCTCATTAAAATAAGATAGGGGCAAAAAATGCTATTTGTGCTATGGTTCATATATATATATATATATATATATATATATATATATATAAGATATATATATATATATATATATAATATATTATATATACCTGAACATACCATATAGATGGGTCAGAGGAAAAGATGAATGGGGAGGGAAGGAATGAGAGGGAGATTGGGGCGACTTTATCGCAGAAATTCTGACCTCGGCTCCTCACATGACAAGCAAGAGCCTTATTGCCTCAGCAACACGCCACCCCATGTAAAACTTCAACTTACTTCGCTTATTAATTGTAATAACATTACTTTTCATATTTCTACTATAAATGATTATTCTTGATGATTTATACACTCATATATACTCGTATATATACAATAAAACAAAAAATATCTTATAGAAATAATGATTTCTCAAACTGAACTACGATGCTTAATATAAATTCATTTTTGATAATTTTTTTTTAATTTGTTTGCGCACGATCGCTATCTTCAGTTTTACAGAAGATACTTATGAAAAAATCGTAAATAACAAATGGTATAAACTCACTTTTACGATGCGAACGTGAGGGACAAGCGGAATCGTTCCGGAACAGCATGTCGCACGTGAAGCTGAAGAAAATCGACCTGGCAATTCCTTTATCCTCGCTCCATAGGGGGCAGCCAAATTACGAATGTTATACGCCATTATCGGCAAATCTCTCCGTTTTTTATCGCTTTTATCCCTTCCGACTTCCCTCGGCCTACATCACCACGCTGCGTTACATCCCTTGTGCTCGTTAAAACTTCGATAGCGAGTTACGTTGCTCCATCCGCGCAAATAGCGCGAAAAGAGTGAACTTTTTCAACCTATTTCACGCTTTTTCCGACGCGATCATTGTTCGATAAAAAGCGGCGATTGTGCGATCATGTTTCCGCAATTCCTGGGTTATTAATTTCCATCGACCCAGATAAACTCGGTTTTCGCCGAGAATAGAAAATTAATTCGCAAATTCGTTTGCAATATTCTCGAGCTAAATAAATTTCGTGTTTCCATTGTATAAATATTATAATTAATTAAACTTTAAATTTCTTCTTAGTCATATAGCTCGGAAGATCTTTGTTAATTCTTTTGCTTTTCCAAAAATTAACACTCCCAAAAAGATAGAAATAGTCAATTCTCAAAGCACTTTAATCGTATTAAACATCATTAATATAAATTTTATAAATCCGCACGATGTATAAGATTGGGTACAAAAGTGAAACAGATCCTCTCCGTCTATAATTCTCAGAGCTTTTGCGGAGGCACATTACGTGAGTTCTCATCCTAATGGACGTAGGATCTGCGGTTACCGGCAATAACGCGGGTCTGTCGAATTCGCGCGGCTAATGGCGTGAAGGTTTATCCAGATGTTACGAAATCCTTACAGATCGAAATTGGCTTGATCATGTCGGATTGTATTTCCGTGAAAGCGGGCTTAATCGCAAGATGCGATTGAGACACGACAGTCTAGGGTACTTCTGTCAGCTTAAGTGGATTAGGGGGAAATAAATGTGTCCAATTTCAGGAAATAAAATAATTAATTATTCTTAATTCTATTTACTAAAACTCCTTGCTCTTTAAAATTGTTATGAGAAAATGATGCATTTACCAGAGTGAGACTTAATACATGCAATATCTTAAACTGAACTACAATAATTGATACGCAAATTAAAAAAAAAATTCTGTTTATACCTTTGCGATGACATCATAGAAATTAAAATAAAGAATTATTAAAATTATTGAGTAATATTACACAATTTTTATATTTCAATCTGGTTTTTCTGAAACTTACTAAATTCCTATTTTTATAGAAAAAAAGAAACGTCGACGGTAATAATTCACGTAACTAAATTACAAATACTCGGGCGGACGTGCGTAGAGTCGCTAACAACATAACATTGTTATCCGAACAATCAACGCAATCGCTCACGTTTACAACGAGGGAGAGAGCGTGGGTGTTAATTATTTTCCTAAATCTGATGTATTGCGACTTCAGTCGCATTCACTATTCGGAATATATATCGTATAAATTCGCTGCGAGAGTGGGAAGGAAAGAGAGGGAGGTACATTAGAACAAACATTGCTCCCGGATTAACGTCGTGTTGCAAAACATGACTTTAGAGAAGAGGTCGGTGCGTGCGACACGTACACAACTGTGTGTTCTCGGTGACGCAAATCCTACCCACAGAGACGAGAGATATCCGTGGAAATTGCGAATCCGTGGTGCAGCGCACTACACATTCTCAGCCCACGTTATATCCTTTTGTTACAGCACGTGGATTTGGCATGAGAGTAGTGGGCGGCAAAACCGGATCGGACGGGCGCACCTTTGCATGCATCGTGTGGACTGTACCGGGTGGCCCTGCCGAGAAAGCCGGTTTGCAACAAGGCGACAAGGTATGTTGATGTTTATATTTACATAGAACATGTTATATAATTGTTAGAATTACAATTGTTATTGTAATTGTTGTTTATTTTTTTATATCTAGATTTTTAAGATTAATCTCAAAAATTGTCTATCTATTCTCTACTATCTTTCTCAAATATTAACAAATTATTTATTTAAATCTAAGATTAATTAATAATAACTCAAATTAATAATAGCTAACTGTTTATTGTCTAATATATTTTTGATGCATTAATACAAAATATTTTGAAATTGTTTTATTTAATGTTCGAACGTTTATAAAACAATATATAGTAAAAAAATTTAAATATATTGATTAGATACAATATATATTGATTGTATACAAATATAAAATCATTCATTTTTATTACTTTAATATAAAATTTAAACTTTATTTCAATTAATCGAATTTGTTCAAGAACATACAAGATTACAATGGATTAATGATGTTACTATGCTCCGTTTCATTTAGAATCACGTGAACCATTTTGCATTTTTTTAGCAATAAATTTTAATATCTATTCTTGTTCCCAATATTTTTAAAAAATTTAATGATTTTACAAATTTCCCATTTTTTTATACACGTATTTACGAAATGAAAGAAAACTATCGTGCGTTGTATCCGGCCAATCGTCGCATGCAGAATAATACTCAAACAACGTAACGTAAATATTCAACATACTTCGAAAGCAAATACTGTATGGAGACGAAAATATTTTCCTGTCACACATTCACCATTACCTGTCGGACATTGTTATAAATGGTAAATGCGCATAAATATCGACAGTTCCTGACGCATCGATTCTAATTAAATTTAAAGTTGAAGTACTGACAGTCAAGCGAAAAAAGCTGTTCTATTCGCTTGTATATTTTCATATTTACGTTAAAACTGATGTATTTTATTTAACGTCATGCAACTGCAGAAACTCATTATGCATTAATTGGCGCAACCAGTTTTATTATAAAAGTCCTATTCATATTTACAGTCTCGATTATTAACAAATTCATGTCCATAGCGATGCAAAATGCAAACTTTAAAATGAATAAATTAAAATTAGCTATTTATTGAGCATAAAAAAACGTGTGAAGCGTAAAGAAAAAGAGGACATGTCAATTTAATATTTTATTTATATATTTTATATGTCATATTTTACACAATGCAAAACTCGAAGCAAGACCTACATTCTTGAGCATTTCTTTGCATGGGTTAAACAGTACAAAACTCAGACGTCATTCAAACGTAAGTCTGCGCGAAAAGGCGGAAAGTATAACGCTTTGAGTTCTCTAACTTTTCCCTCGAGTGTCATCGCGCATAAAGGCATACGATATAGATAGGTGGGCGATGGTGATCGATCGATCGAAAAGGTGAGAAGAGACGCTCTCTCGCTCCTGTTTGCCGTCATTACATTTCCATAAAGGGCTCCCGACGACGATCGCTTATCATCGGCGAACTTTCCTCTCGCGCTCGGCGACAACGTCTAATAAGAAACGTGCAGATATCGCACAATGGCCGGCATTCTCGTTACGCGCGTATTATCCCTTTAAAGATATAAAAGAAGCGCGTTTTCCATCCTCCTTTCCATCCTTTTCTCATTTCTCTTGTCAATGGCTGAAAATCGAATCGGGATTAAGAGAAAATTGTGTCCTGAATTTTGCGAGTGAAAATGGGAAATGGCAAATACACATTCTGACAGGCGTGACGTACTTGTTGCTCACGTGAAACGAAAATTCACAACGCGACGTTTCCGTGCAAATCGAGCTTTTGTTTAATCCGCTTACGTACTGTCACTTGTAAAATTGGAACGAGCAGCAAACTCAGCAACATACTATTCCAATCGATCCATTTATCACTGCCAAACTTTGGAGCAGATCTCTATTAGAATTAACTTTCATTTGACGTCTCCACTACGAGAAATCAAATTTGAATATATGATATAATTAAATGCAAATTTATTGATCAAATCACGAATTTATTACTCTTTTCAATTTATTAAAAAATTTATTAAAGATACAAATTTTGATTTAACATTAATCAAATAGTATTCTATTTTTAAAAAACACTTATAGTGAACTAAATACAATAAAATAAAATAAAATAAAATAAAATAAAAAACAAATGTACTAAAATTAATTCAATATTATAAATATCAATATTATAAAAGTTTATCAAAGATAATGCAAAGATAAATTTAAAAATATTAAATATTAAATTAATTATTATTAATTTAAATAAATATCCTGAATATTAATTGCTTGCAAAATAAATTTAAAAAAGTAATAAAAAATGTCTATATTGCTATAAAAATAGACTACGTTAATAATTTAGAATTTCTCCGATTTCGCTTTTGATTAAAATATTTTTAAATTATTTACTGTCAAGATCAAAATATTGAATTTATTGTTCATTATTTAATTCAGAACACATGGCGATAATTTACCATACAAATGGTATATTAAAAATTTAATTAGTCATTGATTTTAACATTAAAACTATCTTTTAAAAATTATTAATAAAAGTTAGAACATTTTATACAATAATATGAAATCATTCTCTCGAAAGACAAGCGAGAGACTAATTTTATAGATAACAAATAAATTAACAAAATTATTAAATTGCAAATCTTTTAATTACCTAATACTATTCTAGAGCTTGCTTCTCTCTGTTTTTTGCCGTTTCTGCCACTCACATTCATTTGCAATACATAACAATTAATTATAATCGCACGCGCGCGCACATTAATTATCAGAATAGGATGATTATACGATACTTTACTTTGCATATTCCCAACATCATACAGAAAACTCGCACTTTATTTTATATTACGATTCAGAGAATGAAAATCAAAGTTACGTGAAGCTACAATCTGCTCAGCACTGAAAAATTGCGCGACTGTATTTATACTACACATTTTACAACGACAAAATACGTGTTGATTTCATTCTGCTTTCCTCGTGCAACAATAATATCATCGTATGTAAACAATAGTAATAACTATATGTTACTGAATTTTAGCGATGTATAGCGCTGTTTACACGCAGTGGTTTTATCATTCGCACGACGAGCAGAAACCATCGCTCCGTTATAAAATATGTCCATGTTCGTTAACAACAAAGATGGTATTGTATGATTCGAGCGCGCGATTTTCCCAGTGGATTGTAGTTTTGAGCAATCAGAATTTTTTCTCCCATCGTATTATAAAATGAATACACATTGTGTATGTAATTAATGTTGAAAATGTTTTGTAAAAATGTGTCGCATAATTATCTTATTTTAATAATTATGCGCATGATCATAATTATTCATGTTTTCGCGAATGAGTATTGTGTGAATGCCTTGAAAAAGTAACGAAGAACAAACAAGAAAGGAGAATTTTTTTTTTCGGAAAAGCATAATTGGAGATGAGCAATTTATACAATTTATATAATCTTATTAATTTATTAGTTTATTATTTATTCAATTAGTTGCTCGCAATATATCTTCGCAATAATGATTTATTTTATATTATTGTATAATATATGATTGTCTCCCTCTCGTAATCTTGACATTTTCAGCTACATTACTTTTATAATTTCTTAAATTATTTTATCGATCTTTTAAACATTTCTTTATACAAATCTTTATACATTTATAAACAAGGACGCGCCGTTATTTTGTACACAAAATACATACAAATGTATCTTGTAAGAAATAGCGACATATCATTGTTTACATGACGATATGTGTGACATAGTGGGGTGAACTCACTATAACGAAAGGTCTAGTAGAAAGACGAAAAAATTGTTATTCTTTTCTCAATGTTCGTACGATACAGGTACTGTTAAGCAGTATTACATATTATTCATCTATAAAATTCTATCTTGGCAGCATTCGAGTAATACATCTTTTAATGAGTAGTTTTCTTTACATTTAGGGCGCAACTGTTTTTATATTCTTACTACCAAAAAAATTAATGTTCTATTGTTCTAATGTTCTAATTGTTTTATTAATTAAGAATTGATTTAATGTAAATAAACATAATACATATAAATATATGTATAGAAAAAACATGTTTCTCTTTATTAATTTATGTTTCGATAATATTCGAGAATATTTCATACTGCCTTAGGTATTATTCTAGTTAGATACATTAAGTAACGGCTAGTAAAAGAGAGGAAAAAAACAGAGAGAAATGAAGATGAAAAGAACGTTTTTCTCAGAGGGGTGGAGTAATTAGAACTCCCGCGAGAGCAAAGTTCCTACTAAATCGGACCAAGAAACGAGAATGAGAACGAGAACAGGAACGTAATTAAATATTGATCTTTCTTTTTTTTTCATTTTATGACGGTAAAAAGGTCGTAAACGGTTTTACATTTCACGCGTCGAATTTAAAACGAATGCTGATCTTTCATGAAATGTTTGCAATAAAAGAACTGACTCAGAGTTAGAGAATCTATCGTTAAAAATTGATGGAACGAACAAAGAGATCGAATATGTAGAATAAATCTTTAATAAGAATCTAGATTTTTTGCGCTAGATTTAAATATTTATACATATATTATTTTCTTTCCAAGATGCTTCTGTGCGAGTATCGTGATAAAATTAAGATATAAAATTTTTCTTAGCATAGTTCGTGCCTTATCCTGTATCCTCATACGGTAATGATCGCATAATACTGTCTTTACCCTATGCCATATCGTTGGTGTGATGTATCTATCGGCGAATTACGGCGGCGCACCGCGTACATACACTCGCGGTTAATGGACGATCGCCCACGCCGTAATTAATAACAATAAAGTTTGACGTCGAGTCGATCGAACAGCAAATCCAGCTCTGAGATCCTGGGCGTTCTGACAATGTTTGTCGTTCTGACGTCACGCGAACATCGTCGTCACGCGGCTTACGTCGGAAATGAAATTTAACGTCCACGAGAACACAGTACGTTGATTAATCGTCGACGTGATCCAATAAACCATATGAGAAACTTTTATTACGGGCCAATACTTTCAAAAT